GAAGCAGCATTTGCTGCGCCGCTTGACACCGTTGGCTTTGACTTGGTGCCGTGTTGCTGCTGCATTTGGGGTGTATATACAGCTGTTCGTTCCTGCTGCTGCTGCTGCTGCTGCTCCTTCAGCAGCAGCAATTATATTTGCTGCTGCTGCAGCAACTGACTGGCTAGATGGGTACTTAGCGCGGCGTTGGGGTGTATGTACACCTGCAGGTGCAGCACTAGATGCTGCAGCAGATAAGCTGCTGGTTGTTGCTGCTCTTGGTGGGGTTTCTGCTGCTGCTGCTGCTGCTGCAGCTGCTCCCCCTGCTGCTGCTACTGCAGCAGCAGCAGCAGCAGCAGCAGAAAAAGGCATGGCGCTCGTGCGGTTGCTGCAGCCTGCAGTATCTTTGCTGCTGCTGCGCGAAGTATTTGTGCAGGCGTTGCGGCAGCAGCTGCAGCAGCAGCAGCGGGAGCATGTTGCTGCTGTTTCTTATTTAGGAAAGGTGAAGACAGCAGCAGAGATGTTCTCCTTGACTCTGCTGCTGCTGCTGCTGCCGCAGCAGCAGCAGCAGCAGCAAACTCACGTGGGAAGGTCGGCAGCAGCAGCAGCAGCAGCAGCAGCAGCTGGCTGGTCCTCGAAGGCGTTTTCTTTGCTGCTGCAGCACCCTGCTGCAGCAGCGAAATCAGTAGCCACAGCAGCAGCAGCAGCAGCAGCAGCAGCAACTTGCAGCCTCAGGTCTCTCTTGGGGCTTCCGGTGCACATACCTCCTCAGCCTTCTCTCTTAGCTTGCTGCAGCAAGGTGCTGCAGCAGGCAGGAGCAGCAGCAGCAGCCGCTGCTGCTGCTGTACTCTGCAGTGTAGACAGATTTGCTGCGGCGGCCAGCGACATGCAGCTGCTGCCTCCTGCTGCTGCTTGCAACAAGGCTGCTGCTGCACTTGCTGCTGCTGCTGCTGCGGGGGATCGCTCGCTGCCTGTACGGCTGGGGCTCCGCACAGCAGCAGCAGCAGCAACAGCAGCAGCAGCAGCTTCGCGGGGTGTTGCAGCAGCAGCAACAACAGCAGCAGCAGCAGGGCAGCGTCTCTGCATGCACCCTCGTTTAAAAGCTTTTGCTGCTGCTGTGGGGAGACGCCGATTGGTGCGGCCCTTTGTTGCTGCTGGATCTGCAGCAGCAACAGCAGCAGCAGCAGCAGCAAACAGCAGCAGGGATGCACTGCGGTGTACGTACGTCAGAGGCTCTCCTTCTTTGCTTACTGTTGCTGCTGCTTCTTTCTGGCTCTCTGCTTTTCTTGCTGCTGCATCTGCTGCAGACTATGCTGCAAAAGCCTTGCTGCTTCCCTAGCAGCAGCAGCAGCAGCAAACAGCTGCAGCAGCAAGCAGCAGCAGCAGCAGGAGAGGTTTTTACGTACAATGGTTTGCTGTATGATGGATCTGCAACAGCAAAAGTAGCAGCAGCAGCAGAAACAGCAGCAGCAGCAGCAGCAGCTCAGACGTAGCGGAAGCAGCAGCAGCAGCAGCAGTACAGACAACAGTTTGTTTAGATAAATCTGCAGCAGCAGCAGCAGCAGCAGCAGCAGCAGCAGCAGCAGGGCGTCCGCTGCAAATGAGTTATTTTGATGTTTTTTAATATTCCTCTGCATTGAGGAGCGACAAACAAACAAAACACCCAAGCAACAAATAAATAAATAAATAAATAAATAAATAAATAAATAAATAAATAAATAAATAAATAATAATATAAACAAATAAACAAATGAATAAACAAATAAACAAAAACAGAGAAGAGAAATCGGAGGTAAACAAACCGTCAAACCGACCCCTCACTGCAGCAGGTTCAAGCAAACACTGAGGTAGCTAGCTAGCTGTAGCTAGCTAGCTAGCTAGCTAGCTAGCTAACTAGCTCTACTTGCTTAGCTAGCCGCAGCTAGCTACCTATCTCCTGCAAACTGCAGCTAGCTAGCTAGCTAGCTTGCGAGCTCTAGCTAGCTAGCTGCATCTATCTAGCTGCACCTAGCCAGCTAGCTAGCTAGCTACAGCTAGCTAGCAAACTGTATCTAGCTAGCTGTAGCTAGCTATGAATCTCCAGGTAGCTAGCTGGCATATCTCAAGCCATTGCTAAAAGCGTCGGATCCCTATAAACCCTAAACCCTAAACCCCACACGAACAGACGAAACCCTAAACCCTCCTCTTGATAAAGAAATCTAACGCTTGCCTCTCTTCAGCAAGCAGACAGACGAACAAACAAAGGGTAGTTCACCCACCTTTATAGACAAACCCTGCAGCAAACCCTAAACCCTCGTAAACCCTCATAAACCCTAAACCCTAATTAGGAACGTTTAAAAGCAGAAAGACACAGAGCAATTCGTTTTCATGATGAGTTTTGTTTTAGTTATTATAATAAATTAAATTTAATTGCCTTAAAAGAATTAAATCAAGCCAACTCATATGGGGGGTCAGTAGCTTACCAAGGACAGCTAGGGTTTAGGGTTTAGGGTTTAGGGTTTAGGGTTTACTGATTGGGGCTTCGATGGGATTTGATTCCTTCTGCGCATGGGAATTCTGTTTCTGATTATTTAAATAATTGTTTTTTGTTGAATTAATTAATTTCTGCTTTTTAAATGAGGATTTATTGCATCAGAATGCATGTTTTTTCAGGTGTATAGGCACCTCAAGCCTTCGGCGTCTTTTGTTGATCGCTGGGATATTTATTTATTTTCTTTTTTTTTGATTTTTTTGCATTAATTTATTTAAATTATTTATTTTAAATGGAAGAAGACAGCATTTTTGGTTCATTTCTCGCTTCAGAGGGGGCTGGGGCTCCAGCTGCTTCTTTTCTTACTGCATCACAACAAGTAGATTTACCTCTGTTGTTGCAGTCTCAGGCCTCAGTAGGAAATATATTAAATATATCTTCTGCAGATTTAGAAGAGAATAATGAACAGAAAGAAACATCAAAAGAAGAAACTCTCGTAGACAAACATGTACGAGAAATACTCTGTAAGTTTATAATACGTTGATCTTGTTATGATGATGCGTTACGGTGTATATACACGCAATTTCTTCTTCTTTTTCTATGCATTTGTTTGTATTCAATATATACATGCAGAAAAATTGTGCATTTGATTGTGAAGCTGGCAGTTAACTTCAGAAGCGTCAGGCGTACGTACATAGTATTCATGCTTCTAATATTGTATATTATATATATAATGAAGAATAATAATAATAATAATAATAACAATATAATAATAGTAATAAGAATAATCATAAAAAAATAATAATAGATAATAATAATAATAATAAATAATAATAATAAATAATACTAATAATAATAAATAATAATAGTAATAATAATAACAAATAATACTAATAATAATAAATAATAATAGTAACAACAACAATAATATAATAATAATAATAATAATAATAATAATAATAATAATAATAATAATAATAATAACATAATAATAATAATAATAACAATAATAACAATAATAATAATAATAATAATAATAATAATAATAATAGTATTTATAAGAAATCAATTTCTTTGTTTTTTTTTGTGGTTTGTCTCAGCGATAAAGGAGCGGGCTGCTGCTGCTGCATCGCGTCGATGTTTTGACTCTGTTTTGTTTGTAACAAACCCAAAACAAGTTGAATTAGAAGAAGCATCAGGAAGAAAAGTAGAGAAAGTTTTAACTGATATTATAAATAAAATTGATCAAATGCTCAACTCCATATACACCGAAAAAAATAAAGTCCTCCACTCTCTCGGAGATGAGGCTAGAGATATCTGTCTTCAAATTCAGTCTCAAATCAATAAACCCTAAACCCTAAACCCTAAACCCTAATCGCTCCAGTTGAGCAACTCCGGCTCAAAAGATTCTACCTTCAACAAACTAAACCCTAAACCCTAAACCCTAGTCAGGGAGATTTTTTTGTTTTTATAACAAAACTCAAACCCAATAATGAGGGTTTTCTGTTTTCTGTGCAGCAACAGCTTTAGGTCGCGTTACAGCGGCCCAAACCCTAAACCCTAAACCCTCAGCCGTCAGTATCAGAGGGAGCTTACTGCGGCAGAGGGTCTAGGCTGTAGTGTTTGCAAACCCTAAACCCTAAACCCTAGCCCTTCAATTAGAAGGCCGTTTAGGGTTTAGGGTTTGCTCTTTTCGCAATCGAATGTGCCGGTCGGTGTGGCGGCACATTCGATAAACCCTAAACCCTAAACCCTAAACCCTAGACCCTACTCTATCTCTGGGTATTAAGCGCAGCTCTCCTCCATGCTTCAAGAAGATAAAACCCGCAGTTTGTTGAGGGTTTATACCAACGCCGTCGCTGGTGATGCATGCGCAAGTAGCGGCATTAACTTTAAACTGCAGCAGCAAAGAAACAAACAAAAAAATTCAACTTCAGGTGTACAGGCACCTCATTGCCCCAAGCAAACAAATGAGTACATGCAGAGGAAATTAATATACATGTAATTATTTATTTATATTTTAGTGCAAATCAATTAATAGAATAATGTATATACACCTCAAGCGGATGCAACATCAACAAATATTACACCGGCTTGAGCTGTAAGTACACCGCATGAGGAAGAAGAAATATGAAAAAGAAAACGGAGACAATCAAAGAAAACAAATGCAGAAAGAGAGACGTAAATAGAGGGAGAAAGACGGAAACGAATGTATATATATTTATGTATATATATGCATGTATATATATATATATATATGATATATAGAAACAAATATGCATCACATACACCAGAATAAAATTAATTATATGCTAATGATATACGTATATATAAAGAGCAAATAGGTCTAGTAAATGTTGCTGCATGCTAAGGGTTAGAAGGAGGCCGCTTAAAATGTCATTTTGCAATTGAAGCGAGTCAACTCCGTAGGAGAAAAAAGAAAGAAAACCTCTATCTCTCTCCTTTTCCTGTTGTCTATTTTGTCTGTTTCTTCGTCTCTTCTTCTGCTCTATTCTAACCTCGCATAGCTGCTCCAGATCCCTATTAAAGCTATTATCTCTTCAGATAGAAATGAATACAGTAGTGCTGAAACAGCAGCAGCACGTTGCTGATGCAGAAGCAGCAGCAGCAGCACGTAACATACCTCTTCTGCTGCGAATTTGATGACTGCTGAGAAGGGAGTGGCATCTGGAACGCAAAGGACCTTAAAAGGCTGTTTACTGTCGGAAGCGAGGGTTATCTTGAAGGTAACTTTGCCCCTGTAGGAAACAAGCACACAGTTGTATGAAAGAGAGCTTATCAGAGAGCGATCGCCGCTGAAAAACGCAAGGGGAAACGGAAGGGAAACTCCCCATGACTCGGCGAAATTCTTGAACCACAATAAAGAAAATTCTAATGTTTTTTTGAATGATGGTGAAATTAATTAAAAGGATTGAATTAATTGCGAGATCGCATGAGATATACCCCTTCTCAGACATTGTCGTTCGTGAGTGTGACGGAGCCTCAGGTGTATGCTCAGCTCGGATTCGCAGGAAACTTCTGCAATTAATGTCTATAAGTGTTCGAAATATGAGTTATTTTTTGATAAAACGAAATATAAAGTTATTTTACATCTTTTTTTCGTTAAGTGTCTACCATTATGCAAGCAGATGGCTGCATGCGGGGGGCCCCCGCGCTCCTGAATTCTGAATGAGTTGCAAGCTTAACGATGACTGTCAGTTGTGATAAGTGATTGAAACGAAGGAGTTGGAAAGATTAGTGCTTCTTTTTGAATATATATTTCTTCTTTTTGCATTTAAACCGGCGGCTCCGTGATGCTTCTTTGATTTCCTCTTCCTGCAGTTTCCCCTGGAGGCAGCCACACCAAACGATGAATCTGCCTGCTGACGGAAAACCCCAAGTGCAGTTGATATGCGAGCGGCTTATCGATAGTGAGGCGATCCCACAACCCTAAACCCTACGCCCTAGGGAAATAAGGGCTGTAGATATCGTTGTACGCATGCATCCACCGAGGTCTAGACGCATACGTGCTTACGTGCATGCATGTTTGCATGCACGCAAGAATGGGTGCATGCATGCATACATGCGTGCATGCATGAATGGACTCATGCATGCATGCATGCACGCATAAATGGACGCATTGATGCATGCATGCATGCATTCATGCATGTATGGATGGATGGATGCATGCATGCATGCACGCATGAATGAACGCATGCATGCATACTTACATGCATGCATGCATGCATGTATGAATGGGTTTATATGAATGCATTTATTTATATTATGTGCATGCGTTGTGCTTGTGTGGGTGTTTGGGGCTTTAGAATTTGCAAGTCGTCTTAAAGAAGATACTTCATTAGGTCTTTCAGTGGATACACAAGACGAATTTTTGCGGGTAAAGGCTGAGAGGGCAAAAGAAAGAGAAGTAGAAACCGACTTGCACAGAGAGCGTGAAATCTACAGCAAGTGAGAAGAGCTAACCTCTTTAATATCAGATGCCGGATATATTAGGGTTTAGGGTTTAGGGTTTAGGGTTTAAAGCCTCACCATTGCGATGATTTCATTCATCTTTTTCATGCAGGTATGGAGGGAAGGCACAGCTGAGAGGCTGCGGGCTCAGTCTTCTTTATTCCCCCAAGTAACCCTAAACCCTAATAAACCCTAATAAACCCTAAACCCTCAGGCTCCCAAACCCTAAACCCTAAACCCTAAGGCTATTAAACTGCACAATTCGTGTTTGTGAATCTGCAGAAGGAAAGCGGAGTTTTCAGCCTGCAGTCCGAACGCGCGCCACGTGAAGAGGCGTACGCTGCTCTAAGCCCTAAACCCTAAACCCTAAACCCTAAGGCCTAAGGGACAGTTAAGCTATCCTTGGATGAGTCTTTAGCCTCTCAACTAATTGCGAGGGTTTATACTTCTTTGGCTTTGTCTGGGTGCTGCAGTGTTGACGGCAAGAGGAGACGTGTAAACACCGGCGACTCTGATGGTAAATCTTAGGGTTTAGGGTTTAGGGTTTAGGGTTTAGGGTTTAGGGTTTAGGGGTGATCTGGGTACATGGTGGGGCCGTTGTTTTGTTGCCAGGGGTGAAGAGTCTACGATTTACGGTTTATGTGCAGCCTAAACAACACTTAGGGTTTAGGGTTTAGGGTTTAGGGTTTGCGTGCAGATGAGTTTGAAGATGCGAATCTGGATACATTAGGGTTTGAGACATCGTTAGAACATCAGCGCTTGCGAGCGTCTGCAGCTGAGCTTCGGTACAGAGAAGAAATACAAAACAAAATAAATATAAATAATAAAACAACAAACCCGAGTATTATACACTCTGAAGAATATCGCTTAACTCCTACACCGCCTCTCGAAGACATAACGCAGCCTTTTCACAGCCACGAAGCCCTTGATAAGGTTATTGGACACCTACATAAGGTGCGCCAAACCCTAAACCCTAAACCCTAAACCCTCGCGGGTGTTGAGGGTTTGTCCGACGCAGTCGATGCTAACGGACGCACCGAGTTTATCTAACTACTAAAAAATAAATTAATAAATAAATAATTTACTTTTAGTTATTAACTGTTTGTTTTGCTGTTTATTAATTATTTTATTTTATTTTCTGAGGTTTTGTCACGGAGATTTCTCTGTAAATGTTTGAGGTGTATCTGCAACTTTTTGAATTCATCTTTGCCTTCATTTATTAAAACTCTTTCATTTTAATCAAAATATATATGTATATTATATATTATATATATTATATGGTGTATATATTATATATACTAATTACATATATATATATATACATATATATATATATATAAATATATACATCCAGATCTTGCGTATTTACACGAACACATGGGATTAGGGTTTAGGGTTTAGGGTTTAGGGTTTAGGGTTTAGGGTTTTGGGTTCAGATATCGAGGCCTGCGGATTGTTCGCGTGCATTGACTGCTGAGAGAAGTTTGCAGTGGAGTTTGATAATTCGTAACGGAATAATAAAGGTGCGTAAATATATTTTATTTATTTATTAATTTATTTCTAAGTCTTTTTGTTTCTTTATCAGCTTCATTCAGGTGTACGTACACCTCAAATTGCATTTATTTATTTTTGTTTTTTTTTCATTTTGATCTGCAGATTGCAGGCCAAGAGTTTCCGTTTGGGCGTCTCGATGCGGAGTTAAAGGAGATATAATTTGCATGTTTAATTAAATTAATTAACTAATTAATTAATTAATTAATTATATTTATTTATTTGTTTAGTGTTTTGTTTATTACTTCTTTTGTTTATTTTTTAATTAAAAAAAAGTCGCGGTGCTGGCTGTCTTTTGTTTTGTTTTTGCGGTTTTCTTCTCTTTATTAAATAAGTCAAATTAAATTATTATTATTATTATATATAAATTATTTATATATATATTGAGGGGTTTAATATAATGATTATATAAAATTTATATTTATAATGCCGGAGCTGTGCGTACACCCCAATTCAAATTTCCTATCAAACGAAGAACTGCCGCCTAACGGAGAGGTGATGAAAGAAATTATTTTATTTTTTATTTTATTATTTATTTTATTTTAGTATTATTTATTTTATTATATTATTATTTATTTTATTATTTTGTTTATTTTATTATTATTTATTTTATTTTAGTATTGTTTATTTTATTTTATTATTTATTTTATTTTATTATTGTTTATTTTATTTTATTATCTATTTTATTTTATTATTTTGTCTGTTTCAGTCTTATTTTATCATTTAGTTTATTTTATTATTTTGTTTATTTTCATCTCATTTTATTATTTGTTCTCTTTCTATTTTAATTTAATTTAATTTTATTTTGTTTTAATTTTATTTTGTGTTTAATTTCGTTTTGTTATTTTGTGTTTATTTTATTTTTATTTTATTTTTATTTTATGGTGTACAGATTTCTTTCTCCCTCTGAATAAATATATAATAAATAAATAAATAAATAAATAAATAAATAAATAAATATACGTATATATATATATTTTAAATGCAGATATGAATATGTCTGTCTGTATATATGTGTATTAGTTTGATAATGAATTTAAAACATTTGTTTGATAATATATATGTGTATTAGTTTGACAATATATTTAGGATTTATATGATAAGTTTTTTTGTATTTGTTTGTCTGCAGACATCTTGGGAAGTATATTTTATGCGTGCTGCTCTAGAAGAAGCCGAAAATGCATTAAGAAGCGGTGAAGTACCGGTCGGCTGCGTCTTAGTTTGTAGTAAAAGCAAAGAAATCGTAGCAAGAGCGAGCAACAATTCAAATGTTAAAAAAAATGCATCCAGACACTGCGAGTTAGAGGCTATTGATATGTTTCTGCGGGACTTCAGGAAAGATAAACAACAAAATAATAATAATAATAATAATAATAATAATAATAATAATAATAATAATAATAATAATAATAATAATATTTATTGTCAAAAAGATAAACATTGCCTCGCTTCAAATGCGCGCAGTAATTACACAAACGCAAATCCAGTCAGCAGCAGCAGCAGCAGCAGCTGCTGCTGCTGCTGCAGCAACAGCAGCAGCTGCTGCAGCAACACCAACAGCTGCAGCAGCAACACCAACAGCAGCAGCAGCAGCAGCATCAGCAGCAGCATTTTGAGTGATGTCTTATATCCTTCTTCATTTAATACTATAAGCAAAGAAGAAAAAGAAGCTTTATCTTTTTTATGTTTGTTTGTTTCATGTGAGCCGTGCATAATGTGCAGCTTTGCTTTGCGTCTCTGCTGCATACACCTCGTTTACTTCGGCTGTACAAACAGCAGATTTGGAGGGTGTAGCACTGTACTCAATATACACAACTTTCCTGTCGCTTACTCAAATAGTATTACTTCTAAATCTTGCTGCTGCTGCAACTGCAGCTGCAGCAGCAGCTGCTGCAACTGCTGCAACAACTGCAGCAAAAACAGCAGTAACAGTAACAACAGCAACTGCAGCAGCAGCAAGGAGGGAAACCACCAGCAGCAGCAGCAGCAGCAAATGCAGCAGCAGCAGCAGCAACTGCAGCAGCAGCA